ACAGTTGACCCGCACGGTGTAAATCTGTAATGACAAAAAAACGCCCCAATCCACACTGCCTCTTTTTGGCAGCACGAACGCATTAACAATCATGCTAATGTGCTCCCCACCACCTCCTAATTCTCACCACCGTTCCCTCATTACTGCATTCTTAATCGCGAGAGACACGGCAGGGATGCCAGGTCTGGGATGCGTCCAATAAAGTATCCACGAGGGGACCTTTGGTTGGCAATGAGAGGATGTAATGTAAGGACATAGATCTAAAAGCGGCGTATCCTCCGCTCCCAGAGGACCGGCATTCTAAAGTCAACCGTCTGTGGCCAAAGGACATCGGCGACTCGACCTTTTGCTCAGATTCCTGCTCTAGACTACAGATACTGTTGCGTTGGGCTGAATACGGTTCACACACTAATGAAGCAAAACACAAAGCAGCATGAAAACAGGTATTGTTGCCAAGAAACACGCAACGATACAATGATGACCTTTTCAATCTCTGTGGAATTTGTGACGCTGACGTGCCGTCGGCGGTGATTAACATATTATGAGACGATATAAGAGTGGAGCTCTTTCATCCAGATACCTGTTAGCCGCTGCCAAAGAAAATGGAAAACTCCCCGAGGCCGGCAGGGGACAATTTACGACAAACAAAAAAAAAAAGACAGGGAAACAAAATGGCAAAAGGGTAATGCAAGGACCCCAAAAGTTAACAACAGCAAGTCTCCTCAAGTTTCTCCCGAAGTAAGAAATACAGTGTGAAAATGACATTTCCACCTGCTGATAGTTTTTTTCTTTTGCATTTTCTGTTTTTCAAATGCCCAATCTTTGATGTTTAGGCCACAACTAATGCCTTGATGATCAGTCTGCCACTAGAGGAAATCGTGAGCCGCGCACCTCTCCTCTCGGGGAAGAGTTCTTCACTTACTTTAGTGGCTTGTGAAGTGCCCATGTCTGTCTTGAATATGTGCAAAGCTATAAAACTAGCCATGTTTGGAGGAATACACAGCTAACATCTCTAACCGTCTGCCCAGATCCATCCGTCACATATTTTGCGGTGCTCCCTTGAGAGAATATTGACTGATGTATATTTTGCTTCCCTATAAATGTGTGTAAACATTTTTGTCCTGCCAGAAAACTGCTTGGATGGAGCTGTGGTAGTGAGTTTGTTTAAGAAACCTTACAGCCATTTATTTATTTGTGTCTTGTGTACGATCCTTAAACCAAATGCTATGGCAAAAAAATAGGAAATAATTCCGTCATCAGTGGCTGTGGCAGGAATTTAATAAGCCTATCCAATCGTTTCATTCACCCGCCTCAGCAACTTTCTTGCGTGATTTAGCGACCTTCGGAGTGGGTGCTGATAGCTACGGTCATCGGAAAAGGGTTTGCGACACTGATCAACGGGTGTTGCAAAAGAAAACATTTTAAGCCCAAATTCAACTCACGCCTGTGTTGTACGTTTTACATCTACACCTGTCAAAGAGCAAGAAATGTGGTAATTCTTTCTTTTTTTTTACAGTTCATAGAGTCTTCGGGAGGATGAAATCATAATAGTCTCATTAACTCCAGAGGAGAAATAAGCCTTGCATGTGGTGTCTTTCCTATTTTTTCTGTTGCCTGGCACCTCCGATGAAGCTGCTGACCTTCTCCTCTCTCCTCGGCTGGAGTGGCTATTGATTGGATCTTGGCACATAGTGTACAAACATAGAGATAAGGGGGGAGAGAGAGAGAGGCAGCCAGGCAGATATATAGCTGCAGTGCCCACTCCACTTGCCTCCTTTTGCTCAAAAAGAAGGAAAAAATACACAACCCTGTTCTTCTCGTCTCCACTCCCACTCAGCAGACATGGAACCTGACCGATAGCAGACAGGATTAGGTCTAAAATTCAATCACAACAGTCCAAGTAATGTTAAGTCGCTGCAGCTGACCGTGACCGCGGACTCTCTTCAACACGGTACAAGTGATCCATCCGAATTTTGCTTTGATTTGGGAGATTACAAGAGAAAAAGAAAACAAAAAAAAAGTGGTTGACGAGGGTGTGTGAACAAAGTCGCGGTATAATAAGCGGCCAAGGATTCGGGGGAGCCTCTTGAGTTCCGGTCCACTCTCCCAACCATGATGTCTCCCCTATTTACGCTTCCTCTCCATCTGGTCTACAGGCAGAAGCTGTGCTGTGTCAGAGGTGACTAATAGTGTCATAGACCTGTCCTCCCCAGCGGGGACAGCAGAAGGAAAACTCAAACCGCTGCCTCTGCAACTCCCGGGCAGTCACTGCCCACCGGTGAGAAAGAAAAAAAGAAGCTTTGTCAACACACAAGGCAGGCAAATAAGGCGCTTCAATTCTAGACCACACGGAGAGATGAGGAAAGCAAGCAGGCAGCAAAAAGAAAAGCGTGTTGGAATCGCAGCAGGTCAAAAGCGGCTTCTCTTTCTCTGTGTCTTTGTGGAAATGGGAGCATCGGGGGGAGTAAGGGAGAGAAAGAGAAGTTCACTCAGATGCTGTCAGGATGGTCCGCGAAAGGAAATGTTCAGACCGACAAGGGGCCCGAGGAACAGACGAAGGGCCCTGAGCCCCGCAGAGCGGGAAGAGGGAGAATCCAAACCCGTCTCCTCGGGGGAATATCAGAGAAATCCTTCTGTTATTTGTCTGTTTTGATAATGTGTGTGTGTTGAGTGTGTGCCAACGGATGATTGTGTGTTTGCGTGTCTATATATTTTAATACGCATATATACTATATATGTTTAGGTATTGTTGTTGATCACCATCAGCTATTTAAAAAAGTATCTATTTACGCAGACAAATACGCACAACTACAACTTACTTGAATCAAACAAGGTTCTAAAACTCTTTTTCAACACATATCTGTCCTGCACAGACATTGTGTGTCTTCAGAAAAAGATTTACCATAAAAACATCTGTTACCAATTTGTTTAGATAAATTGTTTTTGCATAAGGGTTCAAGATCACGAGCGCTTCAAAGGCTGAATTTTGTATTAAGTTAGTAGCCAATGACATCAGCAGTGAATTAATATGTTCTCTTTTCTTGTTTTTTTGTTAGTAGTCTAGCATCCGGCATTCTGTAGCAGTTTGAAGTTTATGAAATAGTTTCTAATTTATGCCAGTTCGGATACCAATGTTAATAAGTGTAAGGAAATGAAAGCCTGTACAACAGACTCAAGTGTCTCTCGCACTCAGATACGAACAGATTTTTTCAGCAAGTCTCCATTGAAAAGGGAAAACAAGTTAAAGTGAAGGATCTGATATTTTAAAGCTGATCTGAAAGCGACATTCATATCCTCCTTTCCCTTTTCCTTCATCCCAGGACGGTTACGTCTCTCTCCCTGTTTCCGTCTCTCAATCAACTGACTGGTTCAATGCTATTTCCACTCTGAACACTGGTTTGGAGTGAGATAATGAAAACACACCCGCCCTATGAATAGTCCACTTCCTCGCTCATAATGACGAGGAGAGCTGGAGGTAAAAACTCATAAGAGCTGACCTTTTTTTTGCAGTATTTACGTCGACCGGTGCGAGCTGGATAGTGGTGATTTTCTACAGAGGAATACAGCAGAAAACAAATTAGTCACCCAGATAGAAAAAGGCCAGTCCAAATGGCCCTGGCTCTAATTTCCATCCCCATGAGATAACTGTCCCATTAGAAGGTTAAAGCCATTGTGGTGTCCCTGCAAAGACTGCGCCTCGGAAACACCAGCAATCCTGCTTTAAAACTTTGATGCAGCCAGAAAGCTTTCCTCATCGCTTCTCATCCCTCCCCTCTGACCTGCATGTGTGTGTGTGTGTGTGTGTGGAGTTACATATGTGCATGAGATAGAGAGAGCGGGGGGTGGAGACGGGGGGAGGGAGGAGGACCGAGGGAGCAGACAGAGGAAGAGATATGAGAGGGTGGGGCCGGGCTGTCTGCCACCGAGGCCCAGGGAACATAAAGAGAAAAATACGGCCATAAAACCTCTCTATGACTATGAATACTAATTCTGACTCTGTGAGCTAAACCAACCGAGTCCGTCCTCTCCGTCTCGTTCAGAGAGACGATGCGGCTTGAAAATGGAGGCAGAACCCTAAAGCTTCACGTTTACCACATCTCTTACACGACAAACATGAAGGCTCTCTCATGTGGCTCAAAGGTTTGTACATTTTAAATAAAAAGATAATGGAAGAAAGTCATTTACTTGGCGACCTCAATGGACGCGATCCATCTGCAGTTACTGACCCAGCTCTTTGTAATTACTGTGCTAAACAATTCTGTCAATTGTGCCATGCTGCTCACACCAAGCATGCATCATGTGGTCAGATCCAATATGATAGCAGTCAGTTAACTAAACCAAACTAAACCAACTAAAAAGAACAAAACTAAGTATTATACCAAAAAATAACTACATTTTTTATATTGACTTTCCTTACAATTGTTTTGAAATACCATTTTAATGTAGGCCACTACATTTTTTTTTTTTATAGGTTTTACTTTTTGCCTTTTGATATTCCAGCAGCCGTTTCAAAATGTTTTCAATGTTATGGTCAGCTGCTCTTCACAAATACCTGCACTTTCATGTTGCCCCCCTCGCAGCGAGCTTTTCTCTGAAAAATGTTGGAGGACAGAAGAAAAAGTCGTAATCTCTCAAGCATTTCTAATGAGTTTTTCTCCTACAATTATTTGATAAGAGCAGACAAGACTTGAGGCAGCGTGCATGATACACTGGCTCCTACTGCCGAGGTGAGAGCTCTGCTGATTACACGCGCAGCCGTTTACACACTCACACAAGAAACATGCACGCACATAGCCAGCAGCTCACAGTCCGTCATCTCGGAGTGCAACAATCCTAATAATAACACGAGAGGCTGAAGTTATGACCGGCAGGCGCACCTGAGTTACCAATCCGGGCCCCCTTATCCCTAAAAAACACACACACACACACTAACTCTATCCTCACCTTCCGACTTCTCTGCTTAACCTCCATCCCCCTCCCACACACACCTCCCAACTCACCACACTAAGTCCCAGTTGCTCCCTCTGCAGGTAGGGCAGGTTCCTGCGCTCCAGGCCGGCCAGGTAGTGCTGCAGTCTGGAGTAGGTGTACGGGTAGCAGTAGGCAAACTGGTACACGTCGTCCTCCCGGTCAAAGCAGAAGGCAAAGGACATGACGTAGTTGCGCCGGTGGTCGGGACAGCGGTAGTAGTAGACGTTTTTGGCGGGAAGCCTCTGCCTGCGACAGAAAAAGACAAACACAAGAAATTAGGGAGTTGATTTATTCAGGAGCTGAGAACCTGAGAAGGAAGTGAAACAACAAAGAAACTAACTCATGAGTTACACAGAGATAGGTGAGAAATCACCACGCAGAAGTTTTATGGAAGTAGGGAGATATCATTTGTTAATTAAGCTGCTGAAAAAAACAACACATAGAATGCATTTCTTTTAATTGATTTGATTAGTTTGTAGCAGTGCGGTGTTCCCGGCTGGCCTGTTGGAACCGCGAGCCGGTTCAGACGAGGTTGATTACTTGGCTCACGCTATCGCTTGCAGCGCTAGTCGCTTTGGGATCGCTGCTTGGTACCGATTGAAAACGTGCAGAAGAGAATGTTGGTACGTCCGGAGACGTGCAGCAGACGTGCAGTAGAGGTGAGCGGCAGCTCGATGAGCCTCAGCCTGCACAGACACACATATGCTCGACTCAGGACGACTCGGGGCCCCAAAGACCCGCCCTCGCTGAGCATCAAAGCGCCCGTCACTTGTTTAATCAAATGTTGCTAACATTGAACATGTTTTACTTCTGCTTCTCAGGCAATTCCACTACCCGGTGTACTCCTGGCGGATGTCTGCATGATGACTATGACACTGTTGTACTATGCGTGGTGTTTAATTTAGCGGCCTTGAGTGAAAAGACGAAAATGTGTTTCCTTTTTGCAGTGCCGTAAGTGTGTGAGCAATTTAGAGCAATTATAGTGAGTGAAGAACGGGTAATCTCCTAATCTGTGTACGCCATGTTCCTGCTTTTGTTGAGCCTTGTGCGCTTTTTTGAAAGGCCCTGCGTGTTTTGTGTTGTCTGTGTCTTCTCTTCCGCGCGCGGTAGTTGTGTACTTTGCTGAATCGTGTGTTGCATGTCGCATGCTGGGCCCAGTGCAAAATAAAGCTGACTGATCCGTGCACCTCATGGGCGATCGATGGGGTGCAGGACAGTACTGCTGCAGTCTACACAACTTCTCTGCTTACTCAACATGTTTTCTTTTCACACTCTTCCCCCGTCCATCTTTGTCTTCCTCTCCCTCCCTCGCTTGTGGCCCTCACCGCTGAGACGCGGTCAGAGGGGGGGGGGGGGGAGCTGGATGCATGAAAACGACATGCTTTTCGCCCTTCTTTCTCTTCTCTCTCTCTACTTCTCTGGTCTCTCTCCAGATGCCTATCGTCTTGTCCCGTCACTCCCTGACGCTGCCTCGACAGTTTACGCCATGAAGCCCCAGCACGGGGAACAGCGGCGCTGCCAACGGAGCTTTGGCAGACGCCAAAGAGAGGAGGAGGATAAAAGGAGGTGATGAGGACGATGAGTGACTGGCGTTATTTTATTTTTCGTGGGCGTTGGGAGCGGGGAGAAAGGTGGAATAAGGAGATAAGGGAAAGATGAGAGCGCACGGCGACGGCAGATCTGGGCCCGATAGAGATACGTGGGAACGGTTGGCGGGAATAGCAGCGTAGCGGTTGTGTGATGGCGGGTGGCGGGGGGGGGGGCTGGTCGGTGAGCTAGCGCCACTGGCAACAGATCAGATGAAGATGCTATCAGGGGCTGTGATAGGAACAGGACCTGATAATCAACAAACAGGACAGACTGCTCCTCGCCAACTCTGACGGAGTGAACTTCTGCCTGTGACTCACCTCTGCTGAGGGAGGACAGGAAGGAGACTCATGAGAGTTTGATGTGTTTGCTCAGACGCCTAATACATCAGGTGCGGCGACGGACCCGCATGGAAATGCACAGTGAACACGCTGGCATGCATTTACAAACGCTTGAAGCCGTCCCTGCAGGTACCTAGTAAAACAAAAAGCCAAATCCCCGTCTCTCAGGCGGAGGGGACGAGGGGAGGGAAAGGCAGTGCTGATTATTCCTTCAGAGCTGAGGACGTATCTGCATGTGGCTATCTGGACAGAATACTAATGCAGCAAGTGGCCGGCTATACCACACCCAGACATCCCACTGGAGCCACATTACCAGCCTTGTTTTACAGCTTGTACAGCTGGACAAAGAAGAAGAAAAAAAAATGTAATCTTGTAAAAAAAAAAAAAAAGAGTGCACATTTTGGAACATTAGAGCGGTCATATGAGACCACATGGGTTGGAAAAACGGGCCGACAAGGACAAAAGAAAACACAGCACATTTGTGTACACAACCCTCCCTTTGCCACCCCCGCACCCACACACCCACACCGGGACATTGCTGTGGCGGCGGCCCACCAAGGTGCAGGATAATTAAAACAAAATGACACCTCGCCCCTTTACATTTTTCCCCGTCTGGCAATCCCACTTCTCACTGTTTCTTGCTTCTCTTTCTCTCTACTGGGGCAGCGCGTGACCTTGCCGGGGAGACTGGAAAAGTCCTAGCTATTGATTTTAATTACCGCTGCTTGTCCCGTCACAGCAATGTAGTTATACGCCAATGAAAATAGCTCTGTGACATTTCATGGAAAGACACAGCCCCGGAAGGCCCGAGCTGCAGACTACGGGAGGAGGCTGTATCTGCTTTAGGTGACATACCGCCATGCGCACAAATGTGAAAAGGGGGGCACATAATCTTCTGCACATTAATGCACACAGTCCCTTTTTTTTTTTTTTTATCGAACGTTAGCTGCTCCTGCTCGGCAGCTGGCAATTTGTTTTATCTAAATGGTACCTCCCTGTGTTTCTCCCGCGCCCTCCTTTTGAGGCGGCACGGGGGCCGCCGCTCCCGCCGGAATTATCACCAGTGTGGGATAAGGAAAGAGAATGGAGAAGCGTCCCCCTCCCCCCACCCACCCCAGATGATAACACACTCGCGAGCGTTTTTACAATTCAGTGATTACGGAGACGCCGGGAAACGTACACACCCCACGGGAACGTGCGAAGAGCCGCAGACTGAAACCCCCCCCCGCATCAAGGTCGTCCCTCTGACACGGAGCTGTGTGGACGAAGTTAACCGCCGGAGCGAAGAGGAGAGAGAGATGGAGAGAGGCCGAGGCTGGCTGACAAATGGAGAGAGAGCGCTCGAGCAAAGCCACAGAGTTGGAGAGATGGGGGAACTAGAATAAAGAGGGGACAGGGGACAAGGGAGAAGGGGGGAAAAAAGGGAGCGAGGTGTCACTCTGCTCGCCGGGGTTTCCGAACCATCGGTAGCAACGAACTCCCGCTCCGATTTTCGATGGCACCCGCCGTCTCTTGGAGTTCCCAGATGAAGGCTCGTGAGTTGGTAGCTTTCGTACGGGCGACGTCTTGTCTATATTTTTTTAATCGATCAAGCATAGAGGACACGCCAATCACGGTGGCTCTGAGCACTCTCACAGACAAAGGAAAACACACACACACATGCAGCCTCATCTACCCCCTTTTCTTTTCCATCTCAATGTTGTCTCTTACTGCTCGTCAAACCTTCATCCTGTCAACTGTTGGGAAGGTTAAATGTCTTCCAGTATGCCTGAACAACTGTCAAGCTCCACGGATCCTCACAAGCTCATTCGAGGCAAACGGTTCGTCCGTTTGGCAAACATTTCACGTTGAACAACATATTTCTCCGCTCGCTCCGTCTTACTGCTCCAATAATTGAAGAGACGACATTTCTTGGCACTCTAAACGGATGCCAGATGTTGGATGGACTCATTATTCTTTAAAACGCGGCCCGTGTTGTTGTTTTGCATACTAAGTCAAGCAGAAAACAGCCCCAAAATTATTTGAGGAGCGTCAAACGTGTGGCTATGTATATTCACGCGTGACGAAGCGTGCATGTGAGTGTGTCTGTGCGGTGGGATATATATTCTTAAAGCATCCATCCATCTTTTGTGGATGCAAATCTAGTTGCAACAAAGCTTTCTGGGGACACTGTTACTAGGCAACCTGTGCTTGCTTTGTATTTTGGTTGGCTCGCGCTATGTTGTACGTGGTGGGACAGTGTATTCGCTCGGCTGAGGCTTTACTTCTCCTCTCGTGCTGCTGACGACCAGTGAGGAAAGTGCACCGGATTTGCAGGAGAAAGTCGTGTGTTTTTTAATTTGACTAGGGCTGATGGGCGACTTAGTGAACGATTCACTGTTTTTAATGAGGCTGAACTGAAGCTTTCCACAGCAGCCCGTGAGAGCATCAAGTCTAGAGACGCACGTCACTAGAAGGGCGGACAACGTGAAGCAGCCCGGATTGATGCCACTGCAAGGTGGTTCTGGCTAGCAGCAGTGAGGCTTTGCTGGGAAACAATAACACTTCTGAGTTATGGACCTTCTTGGAAAAAGCGGGCTGAGAGTGGCACACCTGTGGAGACAACCGGCCGTTAGCGGCCTCCTGAGGTCCGAAGCGGCTCTCTGATGAGGCTGAAACGTGGAATAAGAAACTCTCACATGAAAACACTCTCATCAGGTGGTCTTTAATGCCGCTTCCTGTTCCTTGTTTGCTCTGATATATACGGAAAGAATTAAAGCCACCACTTCCAGTAATTAAATACTCCTTGTAATGGTCTTGTACATCTCATTCAGCATTAAGTTGAGGACAGCACCTTTTAAAAATAAATGTTGCTGGGATACTCTCTGAATTTGGTTGTCAGCTCAAACTCCTAATGTGTTCCACTCTCAAATCTGCGGGAGATGTACAGCACTCATACATTGACACGGGACACTTTTATCACCCCTGAGGGGCACACAGTGGAAAATATCGGAGGATTTACTGTAGCTGCTTCCTCAGATGGTGGCATAAAGTGAAATATATGAAGAATATCTTTTTATTTTTTTCATTTCTAATTTGAATTATCTCATTACGTCCCAGTGGGGTTTTTAATTTGTCATTTTAGGTGCCTAATAATTTACAGATGATCTGATTTAAGAAGCTCTTTGGAGTGTTTTAATCACAACTGCTTTTTCAATAGTTTGACCTTTTTTTGTACAAAAATAAATCAATTTAAGATTTATAATTTGTGACAGTGCCGGGATGGACCAGGAGAGGGCCACATGTTGGAGTGAGGGGAGAGAGGAGAGAGAGAGCTCT